TACTATAAAAAAAATACCGTAACATAGAGAGTGCTCCTATTGACAACCGAAATTCGCTCCACTCTACATACCCCGCCAAATACTGCGTTTTAAAGGGTTTTCCACTAATTAGCTTCTGTTTCTTGCACTTCTAATAATGAGTTCCAATGTTGCTTGAGAGCACTTACATTTTTATTCCCATACAACAATTCACTCCACTAAAGTGGGACTTTCGTAACTCTTTGTAGAAAGAAGGAGGATGATTTGTTTGGAGGCTTCGCAAAAGTCACGTTTCCGTATAATTCCTCTCGCAATAGTTTATGTGTGAAAAGGATAACTGCTCGTTTTGTTGCTAAGTTCACCTCTTGTATGCATTATGACTCTACTGATTCAATTGCTTCATTCCCCTTACATCTGAGCTTTATTTACTCCTCTACGCTGCTAGTAACGTCTACTACTATCTTGAAAATTAGCAAAGCTTTGTATAACATACGTTTTGCTTAGTGGCTGGTCAATCGTTTTGAATTCGACATCACATTTTATATATTACCCCAATTCCAGATTGCCGATTCCTTCTACAGTGCAGCGGGACTTGCGCGAATCGTTCTTTCGCAGCAATAATTCTTGGGACACCGTCCAGTGGACGGCTAATCTGAGAGAATGCAAAAAGGTCTGGCAAAGGAAATTCTTTTCTTTCACACTTTTACTTTCGCTAATATCCCTTTTCAGTCCACCTACTTACTGCACAGCTTCAGCGGGCACGGTATTTATGCTGCTACGGACCCTTGTATTTTTTTTGAGAATTACGCTAATTATGCAACGTTCAGTCAGCTCAACGCCATTGTTTTTCAGTGCTGTACCGCTACTTTCCCGTCTCTTTGGAGGAAATGCGCAAACCAAAGGCAAAAATGTTTGAAGCTGGCCTAGTACATGCCATTCGATCAAGAGAAACTATTGACAAAATAGTAAAATGGTAAGAATCTACTTCTTTTTCCTCCAAACAGCGTACTAGTTTGGGTAATCTGTTTTTGTTGGATCAAACATCTAGGAATGTGTTGTGTGCAATGGAAGAAGATTGCATGGGTACAACTATCATGCCCAATATTTGCGATTTCAATCAAAGCGATTTGTACTCGTCCTTCGCCCATTGTCACAGGTTTTCGTCATCAACGCACCGAAATTTTGAAAAGAGTACAATATAAAGTCACAGATACGACCAGTCCGTGGTAAATGTTCTTCTGGCTGATGCCTATCACTACGATCGGCACTACTATGCAAGCGAAATCACAGATTTCTTTCGAATACAGCGTTTCGTTTCACGACCAGCGAAGAATCGTGAACTGAGGTGTGCCTAGATGTGCATATAGATAGTAGTTTACAGTAGATTATGAGTTTATTGAATATTATTATATTTTTTTGCTGTTGATATTGTTCAGTTTTTACGGGTCACCAAGCATTAACAGGCCATAGAAAATTATTTTGCTCAAGCAACGTAACACACAGGCAGAACTTTTCATTTTTTATGCAACAGGTGTGGTTGTAATTTGTTTAAAACAATAAAACACTTCAAAGATGTTCAGTAGCGTTTCA